GCGGAGAGAGCAAGGGTGTAATGACTTAGCATTCACCATCTTTCAGGTGAATAAGCAAGTTAGAGACTTAATACGTTTGTGAATTGTATATAGTTTTACAATGTTTAATTCTTTCTTATTTTGAAGGTATGTAACTTATTAGAAATGACCAATACTGCATCCCCCCCAAACTGTAAAAGATCATATTGTGCAAACCAGAGCAAAAAAATCACATTCCTACTGCATGGCCATGAAGTCCTTATCAAATGATATCAGGCACTGAAGCAGCTATCTGATACCTTCCTGGCTTTCACCAAATGTAAAGGTTATTTTAGGATTCTCTCTTTGTCTGCCTCTTAGGCTGCAAACACAGTCACTCTCCCCAGCCTCCCCACCCACACACCACTCCCTTCACAAATAAAGGACAAATACATTCAAGGTTCCACTGAAAGTAGTGACTAAGACCTTGATGTTCTTTAAAAACCATGTACTTGCTGTGCTAAGTAATGTTTATGATCAAAGTTCTTGTACAAACAGATATGGCTCCTAACAGGAAGCTTATAAATTTCTCTCATAATTGCTGTCAAAACTACAATGAAATGTACTCCAAGTTTCGATAATAAAGAATAAAATCACAGCTCAAGCTTGATTATGTTTTGGAAATTCACACTCCCCTTACTAGACGCAGTGGCCTTAAATATCTCCCCATCCTGCCAAATTTTTCACTTGCACTTTTTATTATTTATGAAATCAGTGTCTGCACAATGTCATGCAGACCTCTGCTGATAAACTCTAATTAAGATTAAGACAAGCCTTTTGGAAAGGATCCCATCATTAGCAAACATGATAAACACAAAAATACTCCCTACTTGTCAACCAGGAGCAATTCAGTAACCTAACAGTATTATCTGTTGCTAGGTTACAGAGCTGACAAAGCTTCAATTATATTGTTCGACCATACCTATAGAGTTCTGTATAAGCAAAATGTATCCAGTATAAAAGCATTTAACTTTGTCCATGCTATCTGCAATTCACGGCTTCTTACAATGGTAAAAATCAGGTTAATAATTACATCGCACGCTGAAAAATCTTTTCCGTGTGTTACGTCTATACATGTTTCTTTCTAATTTATCTGTGTGATTGATAGACGCTTGCTTTGTAAAAATAAGGAAATGCAAGCAACGTGAAGCTGTAAACCTCAAGCACAACTATGTCTGGGCTCATCAAGATACAAACCCAAGCTTAGCATAAAAATACACAGCAAATTGAACCAATTAAATCACATTTAGATTTCATATTACTCTGCCTCAGTATATAGACGGATAAGGAGCATTAAGCAAATAGGTAGGGATACCAGTTTGAAACTTTATTTTAAGCTAAAAAAAACCCAACAACAACAACAAAAAACCCATACACTGCTCACCTAATAATACAAAAGGAAATAGGTGCTTTACAATAATCATTTATTCTAAGGGCTTTTCCAGAAGCTGAAGTTAGTAACTTTTACTACATAGCATTAAGTCATTAAGTCTTACTTCTCTTTATTAGACTGGGAACTCTAGGGGGAAAAAAATCAATAAAACAGCCTCCCAAATACAGACATTTCACAAGGAAAAAAACAAACCAAAACAAAGGAAAAAAGCCACGTGCGTAAAAAGAGAAAGTCTATTGAATCAGACCTTTGAGATTTTTTATCATGGGTGATTTTTTGTGGTTTTCATGGATATTTGGAGAATAGCAATTATGTAAATGAGCTAGCATTTTTAATAACCCTGGCATAAAAATATATTATATACTAAATTGCTGTGGCATTTTGATTTCTTAAGATGTACAGTGATATTTCTGTGTTACCTAAAAGTCTATTTCATTCACACGTGTGATATAAGATGATGATTCAATTGACGATCAGAGTTTAGTTGATAAAGATTACATATTAGTCTACTGAGGCAATCATGATACCTCTTAGGCACACTCAAGTAAATTAAAGCCATTCTCTGGGGGGATAAAGGGACTGTTACACACACACACACACACACACACACACACACACGGATATATTACATTTATGGAGGTGAAGGGAATGAGGCTACTTACCTGTTTGGTCATTACCTTCTTTTATTTTTACTAAATAATCTGAAAATTCCATGATGCTCACTTGTGAAATTATTATNTGAATTGGTTTGTATGATTGATTCAAATGTAAGGATCTAATGGCTGAACTAAAGTTAGTCCTGATGCCAAGCCCTGACATCATTTTTTCATTTAATACATTAATTATAAAGTGCCTACTATCTGCCAGACTCTATGTGGGGTTGGGTGTAAAAATGAAAGACCATACAGCTGTCATTAGGAGCTTAAGGTCTCCTGGGGCTGATGAACAAATGGTCAGATAATTAAATTAGAATATGATTACTATTACAATGGAGGTTTCTGAGGGGTGCTTTAGGCATGTAAAACAGACACTAGACTGGTGAGAGATGTCCTTGGTGGAGAGGGGAGGAGGTCAGAGAAAGATTTATAGGGAAGATGATGACATGCCTTAGCAGAGTTGTGAAGATGAGATTAAGCTAGTCAGGTGGAGAAGAGGGTTCAACAGCTCAGGGAAAGCCATGGTAGCTTGAGAGGGCCTGGGTAAAAGCTGGGAGGCTGTTTGGCACTGCTCAGACAAGGGGCATGATGGGAACTGGGAGAGATGAGGTTGTAGAAGGGAGGGATAAACTATTAAAGACCCTAGAGTCTCTCTTAATAAGTTTAGATTTTTATCTCTATGGTTATGGAGAGTCACTGAGTCATTTTAAACAAGAGACTGACAGAGTCAGGTATAATAGAATCATAAGTGTGGAGTTTTGAAGGTAGTAAATTTGAAAGGAAAACCAATGACTGGTAGGAGGTAACTACCATAATCTAAGTGAAAAACGACAGTTTGTGTAGCAGCCGAAGTCATGTAATGTTTATTAAGTCATGCTCTGATGAGTATTTTCATGTATTCACTCATGAAAAATGTCTTCATGTGTGTTTCTCTCTCTTATCTATTTATAGGTGAGGAAACCAAAGTTGAGTGACTTGTTCACAATCACATAAGTTGGTAAACTGGGACCGGACCCTAGTGTAAACACTCTTTCATAATACCTACATAGGGGGACAGCGAGGAAGCAAAGTTATATTGAGAAAGTAGCACTGATTGGAAGTGATGACCACTACTTTGCAATTAGATGCTAAAACAAAACCTTTCTCTCCCCAGTGCCTA